TACAAATAAGGAATCCTACTTCGCGGAATTTCATTTATCACGGTAGGGTCTAGAACCGATTAACCGCGATAAACGAGGGTTCACTGTATAATGAAACAGTCGGAATTCTAAGGGTCTCACCACACAGAGACAGCCACTGTGAATGCTTATTCTTAGAAGTTGTTCTCCAAGTGTAAACACCGGGAGCAATCCGATGCGGCTGACAGAGCCTCTCTTTCCCAATGACTTATTTGCGTGAGGCTAGCAATCTACTTCTGAACATTCGCCCACGAGACCTTACAGAATAATAGAACATGTTCGGACTGGCTGGCTTTGGACATGCCACAGGGAAGGCGCAATCTCAAGAGGATACATTCGAGGAAGTAGAGGACCCCTGAAGACGCCCCCAAGATGGACTCAAACTGACCAGGATGACGCAGGACCGGGCAATGTTTTGTTCTGTTGTACATCAGTTTGCATGCTAAGATGTGGACTTGATGATACCTATTAAGACGCCCGTGTTTACAAATTTCTGAGTTTCTCTGGAATTTCTTCTAAGACAGAGAAGAAGACTAGATAGAGCCCATCTAAGCCAAACTCTTTGGTTCTCAATTTGTAACAGTGTCAATTGGTGAGGACAGCAAAAAGTTGCCGGATTGCTCCTCTCAAAGTCTGGCAGGGTGCCGAGCACGCAGCACTGCACACACAGTCATGGTGCTGTCATATGCGTTATTCTGCCTGAAAATCAGCGGGATTCATCGCCCTCTTCTCCAAAGAGGGCTTTTGTTTCTCGTGTTTTTTCAACAGTCCCATTTAAATTTCCCGAGAGAGATGCGTTTCCTCCTCTAGGAAGGGTTGGCTAAGTGGGACCCGCTCCTTCCAGATTTCAGAAACGAGGTGCCTCGTTATGTTTTCAGGGTTGTTGGTAGTCTTCTGGAACAAGCCGAATCATTTTAGTATCCTGGAACCAATCTAGCTCATAATCTCCACCAGTTGCTTGTTTAATATGCAGCAAATTCTCCTTTGTTCTGGGGTCCCATCATATAAACGCCTTCTAACAAAGATGCTATATATACACAAACCCTCGTTATTGTTATCATTACCAGGCACCTCCAGGGAGAAAGATGGCAGCCTGGTGACACAAAAATTGATGACATCGGTTATATATAAAGCAAACTTGCTCTCAGTTTCAGCCGTGTCTGGGCTTTATTTAGCCTCGGACAGAGACGCGCTACAGTGAAGAGAGGTGTTGAGGGCTGGATAGCTGCTCTTTTTCTCGCAACAGCTTGATTTACATTCAACTGTGCTTGGAAAGTTTGGGTTCATGGCTTTACAATCATGAATTTATAGGGAAAAGTTAAGTCCTTGTGACCAAGCTCTGCTTACTCAGTCTACATGGGCTGCCCTAAAGCAATGGTGCTCAAGGGGGTTAGAAAGTTTGACAGAGATTAATCCCCCCAAAGTTTGGAATTCTGCTTAGATTTAGGTGAGATTTATTCTTAGTGAACTGTGGCATAAATCTTTAAGCTTACATTAGTAGTAGACAAAATTCCTTTATAAAAACAAGGTTGGGCAGAACTGAATTAAACATACCTTTTTAAGAACATTGCTCCATCATACATCAAGTAAAAGTTCTTTAAACCAGGCCCTCATTTTGTTGTTTTAAAATAAATGGTGGCCTTCTCTTAATGGCATGTGGAGTTATGGTTTATTGTGCCAATCTGACCGATAAACACATGTGGGGTCAATTGAAGGGCGGAGAGATACATGACTTGGTGAGCCTCGCCTTTCTTGTTCTCTGGTCTCTTGCTCTCTGATGGTCCAACCAGGGTGCAGCTGCCTTAGCTAGTTCCCTGCTTCAGCTGGCAAGGTTCACTTCCTGCAAGGCATCCCTGAGGAGAAGCCGCATGGACCTACCCTGGGTGCTGGAGCAGCTTCTTGGAGACCCCTGCCAGCGCTGAGATGCTTACATGCTCACTGATTTGCTTTCTTCCTGCATTCGGTGTCATTAGGTGTGGGGTAGTTTGAGGAGGACTTTGTAGATCGGTGTCGGACATATGGGTTAATGTCAGACTTATGGGCTTGGGTAGCACTGGGTTGGGATGCTTTCTTCATGTACACTTACCTTTTATATAAAATTCTCTTACCCACAGATGAGTTTCTGTGGATTTGTTTCTTTAGTCTACCCAGACTAACACAGGGGGTGAAACCACTTTTGTAAAAATCAATACAAGCATCTCCCTTGGAACAGGCGACATAGAAAGGGTCAGGATCCCTTCACTGCAACACTTCCACCAGGTCTGTGCTTTCTGTGTGTGAATGAATGTACAGGGGCTCGGGGGCACAAGGCAAACTTCAGTGTTGCTGGTGTGCCTTTGCCATTATGGGTAATGATAATAAAAAAGTGCTTGACAAGCACTTCTGCTAAGCCATACACGTCCTCCAATAGTATCTGTTTGAAATACTGAGGGGTGGTTCTTGTCTCCCGGGCAGGAGACAAGCCAGTATTCCTCATGCCTAGCCCTCACCCATCTGTCAGTGGAGCCTTGCGTGTTACCATGTGAATAAGCAGGTGTCAGTGGTGCTTCGATCTGAGATGGTCTAAGAGGAAAGGGCTGGTGATCTATTTCCAAAAATTAGTTAACACAAATCCTACAGATCTGCATGTACTACAACTGGGGGGAATACAAAAGTAATCTTTGTTTAAACAACTCACCCACCCACCCTCTGGATCACAGTAATCCGGTCCCCATTGTACATGAGTTTGGGGGCAACTTAACAGTTGCTAACAACAATAAGAGGGGCAATCTGTCTTTTGTAGGCTCACCTGGGAGGGCTGACTTTCTGGAATGAACGCTGTCCCTTGCTGCCTGTCCAACATCTAGGAGCTGATCTATGTGCAGACTGGCTCTCAGCCGTCTGAACTCAGGGCTGCCTTTCAAATCATTAGTGTGGTCTCAGGTCAGCAGACGTGCTACTATCCCTTCCTACGAACGGAACCCACCACTCACAGGTGTGTTTCTCAGACTGCAGTGGCTCATGTGTTGCTATGATGACAAAGTGATGTAACCAGTCATTCAGATAGCAGCAGGGTCACCCATGTACACAAGATGCAGCAGAGGTTCCAGACTAAGACAGACTAGAAAGAAAGGCTTGACAATGGACTTCCAAAACTGAGCCAACGAAACCCTAAGATCAGAAAGGACCACTGCCTGACACAGTGCAAAAAGATGCACCGCCCCCCCAATGGGGGCTCTCAAGTTATCCTACTAAATTATTTCCTGATGTAAGTCTTTTGTCTGGGCCCCATTATGTACAGAATCTGCTTATCACATACACCTAAAAATAATATGGTGCTGGTGAAGAATACTGCAAGGACCATGGATTGCCTGAAGAACCAACAAGCGTGTCTTGAAAGAAGTATAGCCATGAGGGAGGGTGGGGGAAATGAGGACCTGATGCCGGGGGCTTATGTGGAGAGCAACTGTTTTGAGAATGATGAGGGCAATGAATGTACAAATGTGCTTTACACAATTGATGTATGTATGGATTGTGATAAGAGTTGTATGAGCCCCTAATAAAACGATTAAAAAAAAAAAAAGGAAAGAAAGAAGTATAGCCACAGTGCTCCTCGGACACACTCGTCTCACATACTTTGGACAAGTTATCAGAAGAGATTCGTCCCTGGAAATAGACATCCTGCTTATTAGTAACGTGAAGAAGAGGAAGTCACTGAGCAGATGGCTGGACACAGTGGCTACAACAATGCGCTCAAGCATAACAACCATTGTGAGGATGGCGCGGACCTGGCAGTGTCTTGTTCTGCTGCGCGCAGGGTTGCTATGAGCCAGAAAATCAACAAACAGCACTTCAAGAACACAGGAGGCAAACCCACACGGGCCCAGCACGACCTGTAATCCTAAACATCTGCTCTCACGACCCAAACTCTACAGGCCTCAAGAAAACACCTCTTTACAACCTGGTTCTATGTCCTGGATACAAAAGGCAACTGCGTCTTCCTGGCTCGGCTGTGGATTGTTCCTGAGCCATGCGTCAGATGGGCACTGTGTCTGTGTACTGGCAGGGTACGAACAGTGGAAGGACTTTGGGGAAAACACGTGAAACAGATCA